TAGAGGTCTGCTTTATGTGGGAGTTAAATGACAAATCCTGATCAAAGATAACTCCAAGATTCCTGACAGTGGTGCTAGAGGCCAAGTTTATCCCATCTAGAGTGACTATATCTTTAGACAATGAGTCTCTAAGGTTTTTGGGGCCAAGAACAAGAATTTCAGTTTTTTCTGAGTTTAACATCAGAAAATTGCAGGTCATCCAGGATTTTATGTCCGTAAGACATGTTTGTAATTTAGATAATTGATTAATTTCATTGGGTTTGATTGATAGATATAACTGTGTATCATCTGCATAACAGTGAAAGTTAATGGAGTGATTCCTAATAATGTTGCCTAAAGGGAGCATATATAAAGTAAATAGTATTGGTCCAAGTACAGAACCTTGTGGAACTCCATGACTAACTTTAGTATTTATGGAGGATTCATCGTTAACATGTACAAACTGAGAACGATCTGATAAGTATGACTTAAACCAGCTTAGGGCAGTTCCTTTAATGCCAATTTGATGCTCAAGTCTATGTAAAAGAATATTATGGTCAATGGTGTCAAATGCAGCACTAAGATCTAATAATACAAGTACAGAGACAAGTCCATTATCAGAAGCAGTCAGAAGGTCATTATTAACTTTAACCAGAGCTGTCTCTGTGCTATGATGAACTCTAAATCCTGACTGAAAATCCTCAAATAAACTATTGTTATGTAGAAAGTCACACAACTCTTTGGCGACTACTTTCTCCAGAATCTTAGAGAGGAAGGGGAGGTTAGAAATCGGTCTATAGTTGGCTAAAACCCCTGGGTCAAGAGTGGGCTTTTTAAGAAGGGGTTTAATTACAGCTACTTTAAAGGACTGTGGTACATATCCTGATAATAAAGAAAGATTAATCATATCCAGTAAAGAAGTGCCAATTAAGGGAACAACTTCTTTAAGCAGCCTAGTTGAGATCGGGTCTAATAGACAGGTTGATGGCTTCGATGAAGAAATGATTGAAGTTAACTGATGAAGATCGATAGCAGAAAAACAGTCTAAATATATATCTAAGTTTACATTGACAGAAGTCCCTGAACTTGGAGAGCCACTGATAACTGTTGATGGCAGTTGGTGATTAATTTTTTCTCTAATAGTAATAATTTTATTATAGAAGAAGCTCATGAAGTCATTGCTACTTAAGTTTATGGGGATATGTGGCTCGATAGAGCTGTGACTCTCTGTCAGCCTGGCTACAGTGCTGAAGAGGAACCTAGGGTTGTTCTTATTTTCTTCTATTAGTGCTGAGTAATAGGCTCCTCTGGCATTACGGCATTGACTTTCTATAGGTTTTAAGATTATCTTGCCAAATTGAGGGATATTCTGATAATTTGGAAGAGCGCCATTTCCTTTCAGATTTCCTAGCTATTTGCTTTAACTGGCGGGTTTGGTGGTTATACCAAGGTGCTAGTCTCCTATGTTTTAATAATTTCCTTTTATAGGAGCGATAGAGTCTAATGCTGATCGTAGTGAGCCTGCAGCACTATCGACAAGATTATCAATTTCAGAGGGACTAAAGTTGTTATAGGACTCTGTTAAATTCAGACATGGCATTGAATTAAACACTGAAGGAATCTCCTCCTTAAATTTAGCTACAGCACTGTCAGATAGACATCTGCTGTAGGAAGTTTTGCCTAATGGCTTATAATCTAATAGTATGAATTCAAAAGTTATTAAATAATGGTCAGATAGGAAAGGATTATGTGGGAAGACTATTAAATGTTCAATATCAATGCCATATGATAGAACAAGGTCAAGAGTGTGATTAAAACAATGAGTTGGTTTATTTACACTCTGACAGAAGCCAATTGAGTCTATTAATGATATAAATGCATTACTAAGGCTGTCATTGTCAACATCCACATGAATATTAAAATCACCTACAATAATTACTTTATCTGATTTAAGGACTAAACTTGATAAAAACTCTGAGAATTCAGATATAAAATCAGAGTACGGTCCAGGAGCGCGGTACACTATAACAAATAGAACTGGCTGCAGTGTTTTCCAGTTTGGGTGAGAAAGACTAAGAACAAGGCTTTCAAATGAATTATAATTTAGTTTAGGTTTAGGGTCCATTAAAACACTCGAATCATATATGGCTGCTACTCCACCTCCTCGGCCTGTGCCTCGAGGAATGTGAGTATTATTATGACTTGGGGGGGTGGATTCATTTAGGCTAACATACTCCTCGTGGGACAACCAGGTCTCAGTAAGACAAAGTAAATCAATATCATAATCTGATATTAATTCATTCACTAAAACAGCTTTAGAGGACAGAGACCTGATATTTAACAGCCCACATTTCATTCTCTTATTTTGTGCTACTGAGGAGTTGGTTTTAATTTTTATTAGATTTTTATGTTGAACTCCTCTTGTTTTTATTTCTTTAAATAATTTAGGTGGTCGGGGGACAGACACAGTCTCTATGGGGTTTGGGTGGGTGACTGTTCTAAAGAAAGAGCAGAGTAGTGTGTAAGACAGCAGCTCTGCTTCCTGGTCCTAACTCTGGACTGTCAGGTTTGAGAAATAAACTTCGCCATATTCCTAGATAAGAGAGCCGCTCCATCCAAAGTGGGATGGATGCCGTCTCTCCTAATCAGACCAGGTTTTCCCCAAAAAGGCTTCCAGTTATCAATGAAGCCCACATCGTTTGCTGGACACCACCTCGACAGCCAGCGGTGGAATGACGACATGCGGCTATACATGTCATCACTGGTCACATTGGGGAGGGGTCCAGAGAAAACTACGGAGTCCGACATTGTCTTAGCATAATTACACACCGACTCCACATTAATCTTAGTGACCTCCGATTGGCGTAAACGGGTGTCATTACCGCCGACGTGGATAACAATCTTACTGTATTTACGATTATCTTTAGCCAGCAGTTTTAAATTTGATTCAATGTCGCCCGCTCTGGCCCCAGGGATACATTTAACTATGGCCGCTGGCTTCGCTAACTTCACGTTTCTGACTATGGAGCTGCCAATAACCAGAGTTGGTTCCTCAGCGGGTGTATCGCTGAGTGGGGAAAATGTATTAGAAACGTGAAGCGATTGGTGGTGACCTGTGGGCTTCGCTGTTCTAGTCTTCCTTCGCTCAGTCACCCAGCCTCCCTGTCTTCCCGGCTGCTCGGGAACTACCGGAGGAACTACCGGGGGAACTACCGGGGGATCTACAGAGCTAACAGAAGCTACCTTCGGTCGGACCGCACCGGCTACTGGGGGCTGGCTAACTATAGCGGCTAAAGATATCTCTGTGGTGTGGTGCCGTTCCTCTTACTCACTAAGCCTCGCCTCCAGCGCAGTAAACAAACTACATTTAATACAGGAACCATTATCATTAAAGGAGGCAGAGGAATAACTGAACATCTGACACACTGAGCAGGACAGAGGAGAGGGAGAGGGAGAAGACATAGCTAACTGCTAATGCTAATGAAGCTAGTGTGTATGAAAAACTTTCGAAAAGTCACTAAAAGAAGGAGTAACTCTGAGTGTTTAGGTAGAACTAGTCTACGTTTAAATGTTAAGCGGGTAAATAACCGCTGTAACTAGTAAAACTAATGTATATTTAGCCAAACAGTGTACACAGAGCAGGAAGGAAACCGCAAATGAGTCAGTACGCTTGCCGTAGCATGTCACCTGTCCAGTACACACACACCTGATGTGTTGACTGATGTTATTGTCTTAATGTGGGTGTTAACATTTTTTCCAGACTACACCTAGACTCCTGTTGTCTGATGGTCTTTAGCATTAGTTGTTTAACTGGAGGGAATTTTGGAACATCCATCAATGATTTGTTGAATGCACCAGTCTGTCTTGTAAAATGTTGTGGTCGACTTTTCCACTGTCTGTGTTTAAGAATCACAGTCAGAATCAAACAAATGTATTTCAGTAACAAAGACAAACAGAAGATAGTTTGACAGACCGTAAAAGCTGATGATGATCCAGTAAAGACACTGTGAGCAAACTGATTCCATGAAGCAGCAATTTTATTTATTAATTCTTAGAAAACTGAATCAATCAGGAAGCGATTTCACATGGGATAACAGAATATATTATCAAAATTATGGCTTCTTAAAAACTAAAGTACAACATAAACACAAAATGTTTCCACGCAGCCTGTGTCATCTGAAATATTTCAACTAGCCATTCAAGCATGAAGATAAATGAAGAAACCAATCAAATCAAAGTATGCTGGATTTCATAACAGTTGGATTCACAGGACACAGGAGAATATTTCAACAGTTTTGTAACATCTTCTGTATAAACTGACTAACATAAACATAAATTGCGTTTAACAGCTTTATACTGTATGCACATATTACTATATATATTGTGTTCATATGTTAACTGAGACTTGTCAACATTAGAATAACATCAGAATAAAAAAGCATTGTATTGACTGAAAAGCACATTATAAAAAACTTAGAAATAAAAAAGAAAAATACATTGATTTCTACACAATTTGACTCTGTGTTTAGTTTGTGATATAGGATAGGGAACTGTAGTACTTAACATTAAACACCAGGGGGAATTTAAAAAACCTGAGCTGTTAGCTGTGTCCAAGTTATATATAGAGCAAACCTTTATTTACCAGGGGAATCTACTTGGGAAAAAAGTTTTCTGAATTGAATGGCTGGTAGTAATCACATCAACATCACACGTCATAGAAACACAATAATGTTGCTTCTTTACCAGAAGCTGTTAGTTTACCAAATCTGTACCGAAGAGCTGCTCTGGTTCCGTCATTCACTTTTCTTTTCATCTCTTCCAGTTTCTGGACCTTCTCTGTGTCTCCTTTTTCGTCCATCTTTTCAATCAGGAAGTCCAAGTGGACAAGAGTGGACAGTGAATCAGCATTCAGGGCGATCTGCTCCAGTTTGACAACATGCTGGAAGGACTCTTCCAACCACTGATCTTTATCTTTCTGAAGTTCTTCTGTTTTCTTCTTTAGATTTTCCAAAAGGCTCAACCTGCTCTCTCTTTCTGTCTTGTTCTTTTCATACTTCTCTTTCACATCCTCTAAGGTCTTCTGAACTTTTCTTGTCTTGTTCACATAGATCCACTTTTCTTTCACATGAGCTGATACAGGACACTTCTTGGTACAAACAGTGCAGCGACCACCTTTCATGACCTCACAGTGTCCTGGTTTCCAGGCCATTGTACATCCAGGATGGTGACAGTTCTCTTCACAGACTGTACAGCAGGTAGCTGCTGCATAAAACACCAACCCCCACATCCCACCATCAATAGGTTCTTTATCTTTGTAGACCTCATCAACTTCTACAGTGAACTTCTCATTGTTCTTCATCTCTTGTTCATATTTCTTCAGAGCTTCCTCAGTCTGTTGGATTTCTTTCTGTTTTAGTTCAATAAACTCAACTCTCTCTTTCAGGTTTTGGATGCAGGCTGTCAGTCTGATTCGTTCATTCAGAACGTCCACAGTTGTCTTCAGCTTTTGAGGTTCAGTTTTTTCCAGAAAGTCTGTGAACTGTCTCAGTCCTTCTGTTGATATTTTATCTGCACATTCAAGGTATTCTGTGTCCTCTGTCCTGTCTTCATGCTGACAGTTATCAAACAGGAAGTGAACAGGCTGATTCTTTTCATCTTTGGCAAACTTAATGCTTACAGCCTCGAGTGCTTTCAGAACATTTGTAGGTGTTCTTCCATTTGAGTGAGTGATGAGGGGAACAATGTTCTTCTCCATATCTTTTCCAAACAGAGACATCACTGAGTCAAAGATGTATGACAGTCGGTCATTCAGTCGACATTCAGTAGCTTTCAGCACCAGACCCACTGCATTGATCTCATGGACTCCGTCCTCTGAGCGGAACAAGTCGAATAATCTGTGACTGATGATGACATCATGTTCAATCCCTCTGGTACCTCCGTATCCAGGAGTATCGATGATGGTCAGTGAGTAGGGCAGAGTTTTATCTTCAAAACCAAAGATCTCATAAACGATCACATCTGATGTCTGAGTCTCTGACTGACTTCTCTTCTCCTCCTTCTCGTCCTCAACGATCTGAAACCAGACCTTGTCTTCCCACTTCACTCCCATGGTGTAGTTGACCAGAGTGTTGATCAGAGTAGATTTTCCTGTTCCTGTTTCACCCAAAAATAAAATGGTTCTGTTTGTCTTGGTCAGATCTTTTTCACCAAGAGTCATTCTTCTTATAGTTCCAATATTCTCTTTCTTTGGTTTCAGCTGGTAGACAGCAGGAGACCCTGAATGGATCAGATCTTTGCAGTTGATGTTGTCATATTTGGATGAGCTGTTCCTGTAGAAGGAAAGACATGAGCTCAAACTGTATTGAACATAGACTCAGAAAAATTTAAACATTTTTAATAACATGTTGAAGTGTAGAGTGTTCACCTGAGGGGAGTGATCTGATTTATGGTTGATTGCACACATTACTACCTTACTAAAAACAAATAAAAGGGTTTTAAGACCCCAGCAACAAAAAATATTTTTATGTAAGTCTGGGTCTTAATTAAAAAAAATCACCAGCATTTTCACCGTAATCTATTGAATAATCTATTAAATTAAATAAACTGAACCACTCACATTGTCATGGTAATGGATTCACAGGAACTTGAGGATGGAGCCGTATTCTCTGGATGAAAGAAAAACAAGTCAGTACAACAACAGGACAACACTGGACCTACTGGAGGATCCAGCACAGTTTGACATGATATATATTTCACATATCTGTCAAACCATTCAAACACTTTACTACTTTTTTTTAGAGACACCTTTAAAAGGCCTGTTGACCTTAGGAACAGATCAGTTGTGGGTGTAACATGCAGGAAGAGAAACTGCAGAGAAACATCCCACCTATAAGACCATACCTGTGTTTTCATGGACAGTTTTAAGTTAAGTTTTTTGCTGCAAAGAAACAAGGCTTACTAGGTAGCTAGAAGTTCGCGAGAATCCATCTTGACAGGCTTCAAGCTATATGCTTGTGTCTAAACACAGTGGTTTGGACCAGTCAGCGTCCTATGAGGAACTACTGGCAGCTATGGTATGAGCTAGAGGCTACAGTTCTGAAAGTATTTCTTCATTGAACAAAGAGCAAAGGATCGGTGGAAAATATGCTTTTGACATTGTTTTCCTGTCTAGTACACTGATGGGAGGCCACTGTGCCATAAGGCTACTATTATACAATATGTATTTACCGCTGGTATATATATTAACTGTCCCTTTATTCCAAAACTTGTATAAAAAACAAGAGAAGAACATTTAATAAAGCAATGGAAGGCGGGAGGGGATGAACTAAGTTAAAGAGTAACTGCACAAAAAAATCTAAGAACAGAGCAGAAATCCGAGAGCAGAAGTTTCGCCAACACACAAAAACAACGTGAGTGCAAGCGCAGACAATCTGTGCAAGCACACAGATTGAACAGAAGTACAGTAAATCAGAGCACAAACAGGGGCTTTTTGAGTGCGAGGGCAGAGTTTTGAGGGAAAGCATTAAAAAAAGCATTACACAGATATGGTCCTTTAAAGTTGATAGAATAAGGGGAAAACCACAATTCTTCACTTCATTTCAATGTTATTCTATAAAATATGAATGAATCATATGAATGTATAATAGCATGCTTTGACAATTAACTGCATTTTGTATTTAGTGTTAACTCTTAGCTTGAAATTCTAAAAATTAATTGTTCTATTTTCAAGTGTTCTTACCTGTACGATTTCACGAAGCTCTCGGATGCTGAGGAGGCAGAAAGAGCAGAGATCAGTGTGAGCAGAGAGGGTGGAGACTCTGTGGTCACATGATTCAACAGAAACAGTCTCAGAGACAGAAAGCTGATTTTCTGCAGTGGACTGTCTGTGCTTCATTGTGAATGGATGAATGTAATCTAAAGTCATGAAAATGTAAATAAACATTCTTGTATAACGTCAGCATTAGTGCACAGGGTATAGTTTATAGTGTGAGTATTTAGTACTAACAGCTGAACTAAGTCGAACACGCACACCTTTATTCACTTGTATCAATTAAGTTATATTTCTGTACTTATTTAAAAAAAGGCAGGTCATATCTCATCAAACTCTCCTCCCTCCTTTGACTTCACCTGTTCTACTGGTTAGACGTTTCTCTAAAATCATGTGACAACAAAATCTACAAAAGCACCTTTCAAGGATAATACCATTGAAAGTGCTTGAGACAGAAAGGTGTTAATAAAATATGTAAGTATATTAAAAGTCACACATTGGGATTATAAAAGTAAAACTAAGAAGAAAAATTACAATGAATAAACAGCCTTAAGTTGAATTTAATAAAGTACAGTGGTAAACAAAAGTCAAAAAAGCAAGAGTTGGAGCCTACTGTATGTCTGTTTGTAAGTCTATGGATCATAAAAACTAAATGCTGCTTCTACATGTTTAGTTCAGACTCTGGAGACAGTAAACAGACCTCAACATGGACCATCTGAGAGGTTCTGGACACTTAATAATGGAGCTGCTTATCGGGAATGTATTTTGGCTCTAAATCCTTCAGTGAATTATAAAACAAAAGCAGAATTTTAAATCCAGTTCTTTGATAATGAAAAGTGTGGACCTTGTTTCAAACAAAGAATAAAAATGGTTATTGATACATTAGGTATATTGTAGTATTTAAAAAAAAACAAGTGCGATGCCCGTTTTCAACACTTTCTCAAGAACTGCTCATACTTGCTGCTTGAGGGCCAGCAAAACTGTATGGAATATTACAAATTTGAGAAATTACATTGTACCTGCTTGGTCCAGACATCTTCTGTACTAAATTTGGTTAGGATTGTTCAAATCTTGTATGGAAAATATTTGCATAAAATTCTAAATGGTGGAAAATACATGTAGATATGAATTCAAAAGCATAAAGTTAATTATTTTAGCACCACCATCTGGTGTAACTGCACAGAATTTCTCATGGCACTTCCTTTATATATAGGTCTAACCTATTCATAATAAAAAGTCTTTCTATATCGTGAATTACCTATGATTGCCTAATTGCCATGATATTTAGAATGATTAACAACATCGCAACAGTCACTAATGATACTTTACAGGCCACCCAAATGATGATCTTGTTTTAGGTCTGATGTTTTACAGCTGGCCTCATCATGACTCGTAATCACCCCAATTCTTCACTAAGGTCTGTTCAGCTCGCTAATGTGGTACAAACGCTACAGCCAAACTCAAGCATGTCCCCCTCACTTTTAAACATCAAATCTGTTTGCTTTAAAGTTAGTGTAGTTCAGTAGAGTCTCATCAGTCCACACAGAATCCTTCAGTAATACAATGTTCGACATCAACAATAGAGTTCATCACATATTGCTCATGACACTTAGAAACATCAGTTCTAATGTTGCTGTGCGTTTCTCTGTCTGTCAGACTGAAAGTGTTTCAGTAACAAAGAGACATTTATTGAAAGTCCAACAGACTCTAAAAGCGGATGATTATCCAGTGAAGACACTCTGAGCGAACTGGTTTCATTAAGCAGAGATTTTATTCATCATTCACAGAAAACAGAATCAGGATGTGATTTTACGTGTAATAACAGAATATATTGCAATCACTAAAAATGTTGTTTGTTAAAAACTAAAGTAAAACATAAACTGATCAAAATGTCATCTGAAATATTTGAACTAGTCATAGCAACCATGAAGACATATGAAGAAACCAGAGTACCAATCAAATCAATCAGAATCAGAAATACTTTAATAATCCCGGAGGGAAATTACATTCATTACAAACTCCAGATATACATACAAAGTACATTAGCTTTCACCTACAACACTTGTATTCTGTAACATCTTCTGTAAAAGGTAATTAACATGAGAAACAAATGCGTTATATGTATAATATATGTATATATATCAGTGATATGTTTACTGAGAATCATGTCAACATCAGACTAAAACAGGACCGTCTAGACAGAAAATTGAAAAAACTCCCCAAAAAAATATTTTTTAAAAACTCAACCCAAGAAACTAAAGGAAAATAAATGTATTTTAACAAGTTTGTTGTATTCATAGATGCCACCTACGTTACTATCAAATAGAACGCAGCCATATTGACGACTGATCTTGCCCAGTATGGCCGCCCACACTGCCCATTTGAATGAGAGACAGAGATATCTGGAAAAATTTAAATTTTAGGCTCCGATCCTTATTTGTTACCCCCAGTTTTCTTTTGTCCCTTATTATCTGCCCAGGCTTGCCCCAATTGGCTTTCCATGATATATACATTTATCTAGGAAATAATCCCCCCCCGTACAGTGGGGATAGCTTGAAGGCTTTCAGAGTATTGATGCTTATCAAAATGCTGTGGCTGGATGGGTGAAAGACGTGAAAGTGCTGCACCTGGCCACCAAGGATTTATATTTAATCATGGGAAATGTAAGTATTATATAAAAAAAATTAAAATGAATGATTTTGGTGGTAGTTTACTCTGACTAGGTAGCGAGTTGTTAGCTAAGCAGTGTTGGGCATCTTACTTTAAAAAAGTAATTAGTTATAGTTATATACTTGAGGCACTGCTGCGCTTTTATTGTAGTAACGCGCCTCTTTACATTCACAGTAACAGTAACGGCGTTGCAACGATGGGAAAAGTAATTAATTAGATTACTCTGTTACTGAAAAAATAACGCCGTTAGTAACGCCGTTATACTTAAACACCGTTACTCCCAACACTGTAGCTAAGTGGCTAACAGCTAGCAAGCTACAACTCATCTTGGTGTCACTTAGCTCACAGCTAGCTGTCATTAATCTGGATAATGTTCTTTAATGTCAGATGTGATTATATTTTATACAGTCCATGGTTTATACTCATTGAAAGAACATGAAGGGAAACGAGAGATTGTGACTGTATGGGAACAGTTTGTGGTGGATTACTCTGATCATTGTTGATGTCAGTGCTGCTAGTGAGCACTTCAGCTTTCTGCTACAGCAGCGGTTCCCAAACTGTTTTTCCCGCACATGTGGAGAACAATACTGACTTTGGCGCGATTGGCCCGAGACGGTCGTAAAGATGGCGGCGCAAAGCTACAGTGACGTCATGTGAATCGAATGAATAGGAGACGGAAGGTACTGTTGTGCTCTACATTAAGCAAGAGGGGGTTAATGTAGCTGCTGTTAGCTAACCGCTAATGTAGCTTCCAGAATGCCAGGAGCCAAACCTGGCAAAACCACCTCAGTCATTTATTCCCTATATGTGGAAGCAAACAGCTAAAAGCCAAGCTGTATGTGTCCAAGTTGGCAGAGAAACCTGTGTTCTCCAGGAGAAATCTACATGGGAAACCAGGTTGTTGTAACCCGGTTACTGAAGTTCATTAATGTTTTGATCTCGGGAGCACGGACGGGGGAATTTGGGGGCGGGGGGGGGACACAAGGGACATGTCCCCTGCACTTTTTCAAAAGGCTGTTTCGGTCCCCTGCAGTTTTTACCGTCCAAAAACAATTATACACTATAGTGAAAAGAGACGCGTCAAGAACTAGGGACAAGCGGAAAACGGCCGCTCCAGCTGAAGCCTGTTTCCCTTAGTTTAGACCCGCCCACAAGCTCCTCGATTGGCTCTGCCGTTTCTTGTGTGATTGGCCGTCCCCGCTGTCACTCCATCTTGCTTGCACACCGGTCTGCTAGTTGAAAGACCTGGCTTCACAACTGCATCAAGCACAAACGCCTGAACAATGTGGCAGTTTGTCACATACACCAAGAAAGGGTTGATGCCTTGGACAGGAAGAAACTCTGCCAGGAATATATCTCTGCCAATGATCGAAGACAACATGTGTTTGGACGCTTTGGATGAGTTGATGATGTTGACCCTTCTGTGGTCTTTGGCTCAAATTGACCCTTGTTCACTTTTCATTTACATCAAAAATAGGATTTTCTTCCTATTCCATAATGAGGTCTGTTTACCATATATTCCAAAAATAAGTGTAAAATTGGTGGTACTGAGTTGGATTGAAGTTGACTAATAAGGTGAAACACAGAATTGGGTGATAATGTTTTGCTACATGCTTTACAACCAGTCAAACCAAAAAAGGGAACAGTAAACTTAAAAGTAGCAATAGAAAACTAGAAGAACTACTAGAAAACACAGTGAACTGAAAGAGTTAGTTTTATTAAAAATACTTGTGTCCCCCCACCTCTGAGATCAAAATTTCGTCCATGCTCAGGAGAGATGATAAGGCATCCAGAGAGGGGTAGGAAGCAAACTAACAGCTGTTCTCAACACTAAATAAATAATTTGGTGTGGATCAAAACATGATTCAGCACTGATATTCATATATACAGTGAAGTAACTATTAGAATTAAACATGAAACTAAATAAAAGAACTCAAAGAATCCTAAGAGACCCAACCACTGTTTCTGTGTACCCTGCTGCCGTCTGGGAAGAGGTACAATGGCTTCCTCTGCTGTACCACAAGACTTAAAGACAGCTTCTTCCCTCTGACTGTGAGACTGTTAAATTATTCTTAAACAAACAAATGTAAAACAACAAAAAAAATATGACTCAACTTTATTTTGTTTTAAAAGTAGCATAAAGGGAACTTTATCTAAATTTCATTCTATGGACTTGCGTTGTAAATGACAATAGAATAACTTTGAAACCCTGAAACAGTTATTACATACCACAGAAGGTGCTGTTTCCAGGAATTACACATAGTTAAAAGGTGATACATTGTGTGATGTTTTAACATTTGGATCTACAAATTTTCTACACAACTGTCTGCTCAAATTCACATTTTTTGCTTCTTTGCTTCTTTACCAGAGGTTGATAGTTGAGCAAACCTGTACCGCATTGCTGCTCTGGTTCCTTCATCCACTCGACTTTTCATCTCTTCCAGTTTCTGGACCTTCTCTGTGTCTCCTTTCTCCTTCATCTTCTCAATCAGGAAGTCCAAGTGGACAAGAGTGGACAGTGAATCAGTATTCAGGGCGATCTGCTCCAGTTTGACAACATGCTGGAAGGACTCTTCCAACCACTGATCTTTATCTTTCTGAAGTTCTTCTGTTTTCTTCTTTAGATTTACCAAAAGGCTCAACCTGCTCTCTCTTTCTGTCTTGTTCTTTTCATACTTCTTTTTCACATCTTCTAACAGAAGCAGACAGCTCCTTCATAAAACACCTTCCACCACATCCCACCATCAATAGGTTCTTTATCTTTGTAGACCTCATCAACTTCTACAGTGAACTTCTCATTGTTCTTCATCTCTTGTTCATATTTCTTCAGAGCTTCCTCAGTCTGTTGGATTTCTTTCTGTTTTTCTTCAATAAACTCAACTCTCTCTTTCAGGTTTTGGATGCAGGCTGTCAGTCTGATTCGTTCATTCAGAACCTCCACAGTTGTCTTCAGGTTTTGAGGTTCAGTTTTTCCCAGAAAGTCTGTGAACTGTCTCAGTCCTTCTGTTGTTATTTTATTTATATTTTTAAGTGCTGTTCTGCCCTCTGTCCTGTCTTCATGCTGACAGTTATCAAACAGGAAGTAAACAGGCTGATTATTTTCATTTTTGGCAAACTTAATGTTTGCAGCCTCGAGTGCTTTCAGAACATTTTTAGGTGTTGTTCCATTTGAGTATGTAATGAGGGGAACAATGTTCTTCTCCATATCTTTTCCAAACAGAGACACCACTGAATTAAAGATGTATGAAAGTCGGTCATCCAGACGATTCTCAGACGCCTTCAGCACCAGACCCACTGCATTGATCTCATGGACTCCGTCCTCTGAGCGGAACAAGTCGAATAATCTGTGACTGATGATGTCATCTTGTTCAGACCCTCTGGTACCTCCGTATCCAGGAGTATCGATGATGGTCAGAGAGTAGGGCAGAGTTTCACCTTCAAAACCAAAGATCTCATAAACGATCACATCTGATGTCTGACTCTCTATCTGATCAATCCTCTCCTCCCCCACAATCTGAAACCAGACATCGTCCTCCCACTCCACTCCCATGGTGTAGTTGACCAGAGCGTTAATGAGGGTAGATTTTCCTGTTCCTGTTTCACCAACAAGTAAAATGGTTTTGTTTGTCTTTGCAGGGTTTTTTTCACCAAGTGTCATTCTTCTTAGAGTTCCAATCTTCTGTTTCTTTGGTGTCAGCTGGTAGACAGTGGGAGATCCTGAATGGATCAGATCTTTGCAGGTGATGTTGTCATATTTGGATGAGCTGTTCCTGTAGAAAAGTAAAGACATGAGCTCAAACTCTATACACTCTGCTGTATTGGTATATTACAGGCTGGTTATAAAGCAATAATAATACTAGTAATAATGTAGTAATGCAATCGACCATAAATCAAATTTCATCCAAAATCTCAGCTTTCAGTATCAGCTCACTCACCTCAGGTGATCACTCTACACCTTCTACCTGTGTCCTTTTAACATTTCATTAAAAACATTTTGTAAAGGCACCATAACACACTTAACCAACTGAAACTGAAAGATTCTATGTTGTTGTAGAAATTAGTATTAGTTAGTTAGTACTACTCACATTGCCATGGTAACGGCTTCACAGGAGCTTGAGGATGGAGCAGTTTATTGGTTCTCTGAATGAAAGAAAAACAAGCCAGTAACTCACACCTCCTGTTTAATCACATCAATCTGTGGACATTGTTGGTGTTATTGATATTGATTTACACACTTCCTAATGACAGTAAGTGAAAAATTCACAATAGTTTTACATTTCACAACTAGAGGCATCGACAACATGTTCATAACATTCACTACAGTTTTTACATCTACAGCTACAGCTACAGAGTTCACTGTAGTGTTTTAATGCAGTGTGTTGAAACTCTGACTCAACACCAAGTTAAACCGCAGCCAATGAAGACAGAGTGGTAGGAAGTTTGACCATTTACTGTCACACTTCCTCATTAACATGCTGGTTCTTTGTTTTTAACTAAATACTACACTGTAAATATGAGTACAGTTTGTTGTATTGTATGGAGCAGTCATAAATAACTTATCAAAAATAATTTCATCTACATGATTGCTAATAAATAAGCTTAACATGTCTAATGTCAAATCTATCAATTCATGGCATTGCCTCTATAATGCTTCAGAGTGGATGCAAGCAGATTATTTTCAGTGCATGCACTACAAGTCTGACTTCCTTTTCTACAGATAGAGCTAAACAGGAAGTGACGTTGTGGAATGAAACAGTTACCTTTTCAAATAAGTTTGTTAAACTCTAAAGCAGTTATTTACTTCTCATTTCCAACCAAAAATAAATACCAATAAATTATTTAAAGAAGAACTTTGAGAAAGCCTTAACGGCAGCACATTCAAAGTAACTGACAACTGTCTCATTTAGATAAGGAAGCTATAACACACAAAAAATATAAATCTGTTTTGGTTGCAAGAAAAAACAGAACAGAATTTGTATCAGAATCAAAAAAGGGGAAACCAGTCAAAAACTGTTGGATTTTGTTGTTTACCAATTCCTTTTATTAACATTTCTTTTTTAACTGAAGGATAAAGAGGCCTGTGTTTGAAACCAAAAAATGGAAGTCAGATGGTTTCTTAAGAACTACTATTAGCTGTAGTTGTTGCTACTGTGTTTGTCTCTCTCTCTCTCTCTCTCTCTCTCTCTCTCTCTCTCTCTCTCTCTCTCTCTCTCCCACCCACCTAGAGCCGAAGGATCTGTCCTAGGTTTCTGCCTCTTCAAAGGAAGTTTTTCCTTGCCGCCGTCGCCAAGGTCTTGCTCATGGTGGTACTGTTGGGTCTCTGTAAATAATGTTATAAGGAGTTCGGTCTAGACCTGCTTTATTTGAAAAGTGTCCTGAGATAACTTCTGTTATGAATTGGTGTTTTACAAATAAAACTGAATTGAATTGAATATTTTTATAACAAAAGCCAACAAAATCATGTAGTCCATTCGTTTTTTTTATTTTCCAAACGAAAAAGAAAGATTAAAGCTGATCAATTGAACAAGCCCTTGCAGCCCATGCACGTTGGGTTGTGCTGCAGTTGTGTCACGCACCAGCATATCACGTGTAGACCACACCATGCAAATTTCACATACGTAAATCAGATGATGATTGCCATTGTCATTTCCTAGCTATCAGCTGTCTTTTTAAATATAACCCACTCTTCACAGCTTTATCAGCCTCAGCATTTCACATAAATCTATCAAATCATTAAAACACTTAACTACTCACATCCTGTTGAGTTCAGGAGCTAATAATAATAATAATAATAATAATAATAATAATAAGTTAATCTGGACACACCAAGGATGTAAAAAGGAGTATCTTCACTCTACTAACAATAAACACACAACATTAAAGTACAATCTTGTTTACAAGATGGCTGTGAGCATAATAGAAGTCAGTCTTTTTCTTACTATAATGTACAAGGAGAAATAATAGCTGCCCAGAATTCTCTGTTGAAAAAAACTGAAAACATTAACAAGATTTTAATGGGAATAAAATGTTCTAGGATCTACAGAGACCTCTAGAAAAGAATACCAAAATGCACTGGTATACGACTACTGGAGAGAGGGACGTATCACCTCAAGTATTAAGAATAAAAATATTCCCCTCAACTAGACATGGGAATGAAGAGCTTAGACAAAAATTGGAAGCTTCATATTTGAGTGAATCCGCTAATCATGGTGCTTTCACTGGAATGAATTAGAACTCCTGAAAAGGTTGACTTTGTCTCTGTCAATAGTTAGCCTGAAATCATTCCTCTGACTGTTCCTCCTCACCTCACCTCCCTTCCACATCCAGCCACTCCCTCCTGCCCTGCAATAACTCCAGTGCCAGACACTGACCTCCCCCGCCCATCTGCTCACCTGTATCCACCCCTCCCTCATGAGCCCTGCATCCTAACTGCCTTTTCCGCTCACTCCTTGCCAGGTTGTCTGTGTTGTTTTAGTGGTTTCATGCCTTGCTTTTTAGCCTCTATCTGCTACCTTATCTGTATCTGTATTCATGAAACCATGTCATGATTGTGGAATGTACCTACATGCCATCCTGGTGGCCACACCTTTTTTCTGCCCCTGTTCCAGTCTACCTGTGTTACTTCTCTTTGGACTTTTTCTATGCCACTAAGTCCATGTAACATTCTTTTTGTCATTAAATTAATTTATTCAACATCTGTCTGGAAGGAAGAAAACCATCTGAAAACTGAAAGATTCTATTTTTTTTTAAGTAATTTATAGTCAATAGACTAAATCACTAAAAACACAGATATGGTCCATTAATTTCAGCACATTTCATTTCTGTCTTTTTCTATCACAAGATATTAACTGATCATATGAATGTAAAAAAGCATATTAAGTTATTATGTCAAATACATTTTTCCTAATGCATTTATATCTGCCATTAACTCCTGATCTTAACCTTTTAAAGTATTTCATTGTTCTCTTTAAAAGTGCTCTTACCTGTTGTTGTCTTCACGAAGCTCTCTGATGCTGAGGAGGGAGAGAGCAGTTTTGTAACAGAAGGCGGAGGCTCTGTGATCACATGATTTCAGAGAAACAGTCTCCGAAACAGAAAGCGCCTTCTCTCCGCGAACAGTACAATACTTAAACCACAGATACACACACACACACACACACACACACACACACACACACACTTATGTATGTTCTTATTTTATTTCATTTTTTTTTTTCTGTGTAACTGTTCTGTACCAATACTGAAATTTACCCTTTGGGTGATCACTAAAGGTGGATCTTATCTTATTAAAAACTAATGAAATTAGAGGAAGTATACTCCCTCCCTACTTCCTGTTTTGCTGGTTTGAAGTCACATTATTTCTCTAAAATCATTTGACAACAATATCACCAAAAGCATCTTTAAACAACAAGACAATTCTAAGTGCTTTACCTCACACAGAAAGACATAAAAGACAATACCAAAAGTCAAAGTTAATTATGATTTCAAAAAGTCAAAATAGAATAAGACATTAAACTGTAGGATATACATTATATTGCAGTACAAGATATGAAACTCAAAAATTCAACTCAATAAATTGGAGACAGAAATGTTTTCAGTCCTGAGCACTGAGATTTGGAGTTTTCAGAGTTTGTTTCAGATATGTGGAGAATAAAATCTTAAAACTACTTCTCCAGGTCCTCATCCAGATTGTCAGAAATAAACCCTTCAGTGATTTATAAACCAACAGTCTTATCTTAAAACCAATGCTGTGACACACAAACAAATAGTGTAAAGGCATGAGAGCTGGATGGAAGGGGTCTCTCCTGGTCTTAGTGAGGCATCTGACTCAGTTGCAGCTCTCTGATGTGACACCTGCACTGTTAGCCCGGATTTCCTATCTAATCAAATAAATCAAGTGCAATGTAATCAATCAATTTAAGTTTGATTGCATTACTATCAAATGTAAGTATATTCTACTAATTAGAAGTAGAATATTCTTACATTTGATAGCAATATAATGTGTGAATAATTTTAAGTTTAATGGGCTGGAATTCATAAGTTTTGGTCATGACCACGCCTCTTTATTTCTCGTCACAACAGAATTTGAACCTTGATGATTAGTGCTGCA